ACTATTGAACACACTTTGTTTATTATTTCTGGAGGATAAGAGTTTATCAGAAGAAGAATTAATATATACTATTGAATATACTTTGTTTATTATATCTGGAGGATAAGAGTTTGTCAGAAGAAAGATTAATATAGACTATTGAATACACTTTGTTTATTATTTCTGGAGGATAAGAGTTTATCAGAAGAAGAATTAATATATACTATTGAATATACTTTGTTTATTATATCTGGAGGATAAGAGTTTGTCAGAAGAAAAATTAATATATACTATTGAATATACTTTGTTTATCATATCTGAAGGATAAGAGTTGGTCAGAAAGATTAATGTAATACTATTATACTATTGAATTTGTCTATTAAGGATGAGACTGTAGAAACTCTATGAAGATACAGAATACTAATATTTAATATACTAAAGAATGAAAAAGTGAAAGTATAAAAGATATAAAGAAATGAGAATCAATAGATTATGATTTCTAATAAATTCCACGACACCCATAAGGGGAATAAATATCTGTGTTCATTCAAGTAGAAAATCGAACATAAGATCACACAATGCGTGACATTCTTTCCGAATAAATCTCCTTCGACATTCCAGTCGAACGCGCGTCTATTCGACGTGTGGAATTTCTACGTTTAATTCCAGTGAACTATAAGTTCCATTATATGATTCTATAATACAAGCTTTTGCTCTAAGGTTGTACATTTTGCGACAATTAAAATTTCAAAGTCAGATTTAATTTTAATTCTTTAGAGTATGATTTAACGTCGAGCGTAATTACTGAGGGGATAAGCGGAGCTTTATGGAATATAATATTTTTAGTAACTGTAAAACGGATTATGGATTTGAAGGTATTTTATTTTTCACTCGTTATTGTTTCCTTTTACATTCTGAACATATTACAGAACATAGAAATCTCCAAAAATATTTAATCATTAATTTAAAAAATTAGAAAGTTAGATGATCTCAAGAAAATTCGCTGTGTTCCAAGAAAGTTTAATACCTTTCTTTCCGCCCTGTAATTTCATAACCATAAATTTCCTCGCAAATTAAAATGTATTCCCAATTAGAATATATTTTCCAATTATACTTCCTGTTTCAGACCTTCGAATCACGTGTTCACAATAAGGGAGCGCTGCAATATTTCAGTAACAAACTCGATTAAGAACTGACGTTCATTTCCTGACAATTCTGTGGCCGATATCTCGCTGGTTTCTTGATCGATCTGCACGTCAGGTGTCTCGGTTCATCAAGATTTGCATAGGTTTCTCGGCGAGGACCTCGAGTGCCATTCAGCGTCCTCTGCAACTTCTCCCTTCGCAAATTTAATTGTTGCAAGTGTTTGGAGGACAAGCATTCGTTGTTTTTCTTCTTACTCCGGCTTAAAAGGTTTAGAAGAAGCAAACAGAAGACGCGTAGGATAAACGAACGCCTTATTGAATCTACTATTTCATCTTAAGTAGTATATATAGAGTTAGGTCAAACAACATGGCACGAATTTCATTCGTTTCTACTTGTTTCCCGTAGGGATTACCTGTGTCACGTTCAAGAAAAATCTTCCAGTTTGTTATAATGAATGTCCGAATTCTTATATCATACAAATCACAATTTTCTACATTCTGGATTTGTTAACATTTTCGTAAAAATATTCCCAGCAGTTACCTCTGTGAAAATTACAAATTAAATTAGCCGGAAGCAATTTACCAGACCACTTGTACGTTTTAAAAGAGCATCTCGCTTTGGTAATAGAATTATCCGTTCATTTTTTTATTTACAAGTGCACCGTGGACATTTTATTGGCTGCAGAAAAGAAACAAGCGTGAATTGAAATTTATGAAACCACGTTGGAAGGAAGCGTAGCTTGGTATTAAAAACTTGGGTAAAATAGAGTAAAAACTATTCAATTTGTTCGATATATAAAAGCCATTGATTAATTTCTCATCCCCTTTCTTTTTTAGTTTGTTCTTTTTTTGCCCCGGAGTTGCGACGTTAACGACTTAATTACTGTGGTATTATTTACTTCCGATGAAGATGGACCGTTCAATAAGGAATTAAACACATATGAACGTTGATTTACCAATGCTACAGTTAATGAGTCCGTTGGTAACGACGCCACATTCATTTTAATCGAGTCCTGACAAGAAAAACAATTTCTTCGTTTCACCGCGGGTAATAAAAAGGCACAAGGTCACTGGAGCAATTCCATCTGAGGATTAATTATCGATACATAACGGAGTTATTAACAAGTTCAACATTGACGTAACTGGGATTTTAATTTAATGTGGTCCTTCGTTAACTGCTTGAAGGATTTCAACATTTCAAACATTGTCACTGAAAATTCATACTGAAAATTTACTCCAAAACTTATGCAAAATATTTGTAAATTTTGTGTCACATTGGCAGAATTGTTTAGTGTCAAAATATTTGAATTTCTGAATTTTAAAATGCAAGGATTTTGTGAAGAGGTCACATGCTTTACCTAGATATGTCTGATCCTTGTGACACATTCTTTAATTTCTAAATTTGTATAAAATGCAAGTCAGTCATTTTGTGAAGAGGTCACATCCTCTACCTAGCTGCATCTGATCCTTGTGACACATTCTTTAATTTCTAAATTTGTATAAAATGCAAGCCAGTCATTTTGTGAAGAGGTCACATCCTCTACCTGGCTACATCTGATCCTTGTGACACATTCTTTAATTTCTAAATTTGTATAAAATGCAAGCCAGTCATTTTGTGAAGAGGTCACATCATCTACCTGGCTACATCTGATCCTTGTGAGACATTCTTTAATTTCTAAATTTGTATAAAATACAAGTCAGTCATTTTGTGAAGAGGTCTCTACGTCTGACCATTGCGATTTTTCACAATTTTTCTATTTGGTTCCAGTAAAATTTATCGACACGGTTAGCAAGTATTTTGCACGGCATTTGGAGCGTCTGTCCTTTTCATTTTAACTCAGTTTCGACGACGATTGAACTCCCGCGGTGCGCTGTTTTATATTTACTTCGAACCGAGTGAAAACTACTAAACATTCCAAGCACGTAACTCTAGTAATACGATTTCCTGACTCTCTGACTCGCTTGCGTGCTTTTGAGACGCGTCTTCTGTAACACGATACTCTTTGTTGTTTTGTCCTGTCGCGCACTGGATAAACGCTTCCTTCTAAAACGATTTTCACTTGCAAACGATCTTTATGCACGTTTGTTTCCTCGTCTTCTCTGTTTTTATAGCAACTTCTTTCCCTGACAATTCTTTTGTATAAAATATTTGAGGAAAGGATGCTACTCTGTAATAATTAAAAATTTTTTTAATATTATATTAAATATGAAGATTACAAAATATTTAAAATTTTTTCAGATGCAGTGTGAACACTATAGGAGATTATACATAGGAGATAACAATAGAAACTGCAGTTATGAAGACTTCTGTATGCCATTCACATTGACACTAACTATGGATAGGAGATAACAATAGAAACTACACTTAATGAAGACTTCTGAATGCCATTCACATTAACTCTAACTATACAAACTGATAAATTGCTACATTACATTAGAAGAAACCTACTGTCAGAGCTAGAAAACATTTCTTCTCTATTTTAAGTAGTACAGTCCGCGCTTCGTCAGACATACAATTTTATTTGTCTCCAAGTTGACTCCTGATTAAAATTTTATTTCTATAATTCTTCTCATGGTACGTTTTGTATTATCGTGTAACAGTTTCAACTGCCTGTCAACTTGTTAACAGCTTTTCTTTGTCGCAAACGTGTCGCACCTTCGGAAACCTGTTACTGGAAAATTGATTTCCCCCTGGACTCCCTTGTATTCATAACTAACGAGCTAATTTTCTTGTCGCCAGAACCTGCCCCTACGTTTTTTTTTAATCTTCCATGCGCCACTTCGGCCCAAATATAATCTCCCTCGAACTGGCTACCACTTAATTAACACCTCAAGATGGTTTTATCCTCTTCGTGGTCTTTTTGTGATGTCCAAAGATATAAGTTTCAGTAGATACTTAAGTGTGTAACTACTTTATATAAGGTGTTACTTCTATTCTTTTAATAACTGAAGAGATATTATAAGGTGTCCTGTACATAAAGATGTCCTTTTTATATAACTTGACCATCAGGGAGATTACCTGTGACTTATATTATAAATTATATTATAGTACTGTCATTTATGTTTCTAATATTTCATTACTTTACTTGTGACTTATATCACAAATTATATTATAGTACTGTCATTTATGTTTCTAATATTTCATTACTTTACTTGTGACTTATATCACAAATTATATTATAGTACTGTCATTTATGTTTCTAATATTTCATTACTTTACTTGTGACTTATATCACAAATTATATTATAGTACTGTCATTTATGTTTCTAATATTTCATTACTTTACTTGTGACTTATATATAAATCATATTATAGTAC